CCCCCAGCAGACCAGGGAGATGCGGAGCAGCTTTTCTCAGCAGACACCTCAGTTTGAGAATAATACCCTGAGGGAAGTGAGGTGTGGGAGAATAAAACTGAGCTCTGGAGAAATGTTTGGCTAGAGTTTCCCCTACAATATGTACCAGTTCCGACTTACATACAAATTCAACTTAAGAACAAACCTACAGTCCCTATCTTGTACGTAACCCGGGGACTGCCTGTAATTAGCATTTGTCCATATTAAATTTCACTCTATTTACTTCAGACCATTTCTCCAGATCATGCTGAAATTGTAATCCTATCCTTCAAAGGATTTGCAATCTCTCACAGCTTGGTATGATCTACAATCTTTAAAAGTGTATTCTCTGACTATCTATATGATTGATGAATATATTGAACAGAATCAGACCACGAACTGATCGCTGCAGGACCCCACTCAATATATGCCTCCATCTTGACTATTGCTGATTGCTCTCTGGAAATAGTTTTCCAACCATTTATACAAGTACCTTATAGTAGCTTAATCTAAGTTGTATCTTCCTAGTTTGTTTATGAGAAGGTCATGTGAGTCAGTATCAAAAGCCTTACTGAAGTCAAGATATGCCACATCTACCATTCTCCCCGATCCACAAGGCTTTTATTCTGTCATTTTAATGTCATAGTTCCTACCTTCTTTTGGCAAAATGGCTACCACAGGAGAATGGTCAACCATTGTATACAGCTCTCTAGCCACGTACTGATCAAGCTCTATGAGCCTTTCTGAAGAGGATTGTGCCATTCCGTGGTCACTTGTTATTATGATATTCAGTGTGTCCCACAACTTTGCTTTCTTCAGCTCTGATACAAGGTATCCCAGCTTGCCATCAATCTCACTAATGACTGCACCCATAAGTGGATTTTCTGGGCCCAAAACATGCCCCATTGCATCAGGCTGCTCCCAGTATAGAAGACCAAAATTGATGGGTTCTTCGGAGATAAACCAATCAATAAGTTTGGCAACTCGATCTTCAAATGAAACAGACTCATTGTAAAACAGATAGTGTGTAGGAAAGACTCCATGTATTTTTACATCTGTTCCAGGCCACATAGCTGCTCCAGTTCTATGTCCTTCCATTTGGTTGGTGACCCATATTGGACAGGCCTCTTCCCAGAATTTTGAATTATAGATGTTCATGTTGTTCAGGGAGAAAGTTTTGTTCAGGACAGGATCGTACATTTCATTAGCAACTATGCCATGGCTCTCTGCATAGAGACCTGTCACCATTGTATAATGATTAGGATACGTTTTTGTAATAAACACATTAGTAACCTGTTTAACACGAACCCCATTCTTCATGATATAATGAAAGTTAGGTGTTGGGACTTTATAAATGTAATCCCATCGAAATCCATCAAAAGATAATAGTAATACTCTGGGCTGGTCCTGCTGGAAAGAAAGTATGCTTGGAGAAGTCATCACACAGATTGCCATAACTTCCCAGTAGCAATTCAAAGACATCTTGGAAAAGCTTTTTCAGGCAGGCACAAAGATGGTGTCTGTAGAATACAAAGGCAAAATTCAATTACCACTTTTGCTAGTGAATTATCTTGAATACTTATCCTTACTACAGTGTAAGAGAATCTGGAACAATCTTGAGAGTAAACCTTATCTAGAAGTATTAATGTGGCTACCATCACTGTGGAATACCTCACAAACATTAGTGGATTTCCTTTCACAAAACTTCTGGTAGGTAGTGAAATAGTATTATCCCCATTTTACAAATGAGGAATAGAGGCACAGAAAGATTTAATTATTTATCCAACATTATACAAGAGTTTGTGGTAGAGACAGCATTTTGATAAAAAAAAAAAAATCATTCTTCCTCTTTCACCCTGAGAAGTTTGCCAACATTTGAGACTAAAGAAAAAGACTTTCTCTTGCCTCTCATAATGGAATGCATTGTCTTCTCTAATCAGACTGTAATCATCAAATTAAAGCAATGGAAAAGGGTGTGTGAAGTTACTACTGAGGCTCCAGAGAGTGTAGAGCTTGTGGAGAGGTTCATGAAGGTGACAGTTGTGGAGTAGATCTTCACAAAGGGATAACTGAAATTGTGACAGGGCAGTCACCGGGAACCAGAAGACAAACAGAAGGTTTGACTGGACTTACATGGAGAAGTGGGCTAATTTTAAAAGGGTTAGTAAGTGATGAGGAGGGAGACCGAGAGCTCAGTTTGGTGTTTTTAACCCCAGAAGTTTCCAAAATAGGTAGATTGTGGTGGGCTTTGGAGGTGAGAAATTCCTCAGAGAATGAGAGTGACTCCCAACATCATCCCAATAACTTAGAAGCAACAGTTGACACTGGGAGGTGACATTACAGAGAAAGGTCATAGGACAATATATCTTTTATTTATTTATTTATTTGTTTATATATGAAAAATTTCCTGTTGGACGACATAGTGAAGTCATCATGTCACTTTGCACTCCTCCCCTTTCCTGTCCAGTGGCTGGGGGAGAGCTCTAGCTGCTGAGGCTGGCTAGGCCCCAGCCCTCCTCTGGCAGCCAGATGGGGGCTGAGAGATCAGGGCTGTGGTGGGAGGGGAAGGGGTTGGCCCCGAGAGGCCAGGGAGGGCTGTGGACAGGGTGGG